GCCGGTGGTTCGACGATAGACAGTAATCTCTACGAGTGCAAGTCCACCAATCCTTTACGACTCGAGGAAGCCCATAGGAGTGAATGCGTTCAAGTCAGTAGGACTTGACGTTTTCATTATTCAAGCATCTGGCTCACCTCTTCCCTAGGTTGGTGGCGTATTCGTAGACCGCGCCGCTAGAGAATTGCTCAAGAAGAAACTGGAAAATTCGAGATTTGGCACGGACGAATTCCTCGACTTGATGATAGACTATTTTGAAGTCAAGGAAAGTTGGCTTATAGTCACCTTCCTGCTTTTCACTGACATGGACACCAGACCAAGCGCCTTTTCGGGGGCTCGCTATCGTCCAATGTCATCCAGTTTGGGAGGAATAGCGATAACGACCGCGCGAACAACATCCTCAAAGGCAAGATCACTATGTCGAAGGAAGAAGTCGGAAGTTGCTTTGACGATGCTATATTACGGACTATCGATAGCTGCTTGAAATTATTGCGAGGTCGCAAAGTCCAGGTGAGTTTCACTGGGTCTATTATAAACTAAGAACTCATTCCTGTCAGCACATGCTACTTGTAGGGGGATTCGGAGAGTCGCCACATCTACAGCAGCGTCTGCGAGAACAATTTGAGCCAAAAGGTTCCGAAATCGTGACTGTTGACCAACCATCGTAAGCATGACTCGTCGTAATGTCAATAAAGCTTAGTTATTAATGCACGTTTATACAGGAAAAAGGCAGCAGCGTGCGTTTTTTCGTTACACCATTCACTCCACCTGTCCTAAAGTGACTTGATAGAGATGGCGCCATCATTTGGTACCTCAAACAAATGGTTTCTGCTCGAGCGGCAAGATTCACTATTGGGACCGACATCCTTCGACCTTACAATGCTGATATTCCAGAACACCGCCAACGATTCTTATTTAAGGTGCGGCATCCAGAGTGAGTCCAAGGATATCGGTCTATAACCATAAAGCTCATACACTTATAGTGGAGGTGATCGTCTAAAGATGTTGGACCCCTGGATCGAGAAGGTTGGATAATCATCTCTGAGAGTTGCTGATCGCTGACAATATGGGTGTACCTTTATAGGACAAATCGCTTGTTCACAACTGGGAGCTTGTCAAATTCTATAGCATCTCGTGGAAACGTCCTCCAACGATGACCGGTCCTCTTTCCTGGGAGGTTTATGTGTGGGAAGGGGAGGGAGTTGGTTTATGGTTTGAAGATATGCATGGTTGGCACTCGTCATTTCTAGGCTCTTGAAGATCAGTCTGATGGCTAATACGAATATTTCAGGGCACCCTCTTCCCAAGATGAGGAGGATATGTACAGTGACGGCTGACCTTCCACAACTGGCTCCCGCTCTGGAGATGAAGATGGGTGCCACTGGCCAATTCTGGATCGTCAATTTCGAGATAGTTATACGGTTCGGAGGAACACGGTTACGGGCGCATATGAAATGGAAGGATGGGGTAAGAGGTTTCTGAATGGAGACTATTCCCAGTGCTAACACTACTCTACAGTCAGGGAATGAGCGCAACGGTCCTGTTAGCATCATACCTGGAACGGCATTCTAGTAGTCAGAGGACACGTGTACTATGGGCTTCCTCGAGTCGTAAAGGATTGGTGGACTTGCACTCGTAGAGATTACTGTCTATCGTCGAACCACCGGC